AAACTAAATTCTGTGTTTGCTCTATGACCGGTGTTACGTTTTGAGGTACTGTACTGACTTCCAGTAACAGTTTAGCTCTGAAATTGTCATCACAACAATATCCACATTAATATTTGTCATTTTACCAATAGTATTAAAGGTATTTTTAGTATCATATAAATCATTTTTAATATGTTTGTGGGGTACTAATTATAATTAAATTATCTTGTATCATAGAGTTCAAATACGAATGAGAACTCATCTTCATCAATGATAAATCACAAGTAAGTTGATGATGGAGCTAAAGTACCTCCGGGTTGATTGCTGTGAAACACGTAATGTTGCTGGCAAATTAATGACAACAGCCGTGTAACGCACGCTTTCAAACCACGGCCAACTTCAAGATTTCCGCTCTTAGTTTTTTTCTTCTAATTAATTGAAGAATATTATACGAATAATTTAATTGTAAAGATAACCATTCATACTAGCTGTGCCCTATTGCACTTGTATTTTTTAAACTAATATCCCTACTGATAGTTTTGATAAAAATTACAGTTTTTAAGTATAGTTAATTAAAGTTTATTTTAAATACAATATTGCAATAACAGTTTAGGTAAAAACAAATAAAAATCAAGTTAGTAATTGTGTAGCAGTGACTATCTTCAACGCGAACACTGTTCACTATTTGTGTCGAAACTACAATTGAAAATCCATCAAGTCACGTAGTTTTCCTTATGAAACTCTCAAGTGTTATCGATGAAATAGCCTTTTTATGGCAAATGGAATATAATACTAGCTCTAGAGAATGATCAGATATTACCAAGCAGCAGCTTAATTCCAAAATAGAACATTCGCTATAACTTACCAAATTGATCAAATTTAAAACCTACATAAGTGAAAAGCTTACAGTTGCTTACGAACCTAATGATATATTGATTATTGATTATTATTATTTAAAGCTATTTTACTAGAGAATACATTTTTCAGGAATTTATTAACTTCTTATCTCCCTTTCTTTGAAACTTGTTAAAAAACATAAGTTAATGTAATATAGATGTTATTAAATATCTCTATTCAAGTATCTATAGTTTTCATAGATCCCACAACGAGATTTATATTTAAATATTTTAGGAAAATTAGTTTCTAAATTATATGACTGACTCCAGAATATATTGCCCATGAACATGTCAAGTTTTCAACTGTTCTGTAGGATCTTACAGACAGCTAGTTACTTTTAGCTTAAATAAACTTTGCCTCTACGTTACTCAGGAAGCGGTCCTTGTTTTAAAGTTTCTCGGTTTCCATTTGCATAATAAAGCATTTGCATGAATTTAAAATAACTTAGATCAGTCGTTTGACAAGCAATTTTGTGAATTTAAAAGCTATTTATTTTTAATTGCCTGTGCTATTGTTAAATTCTAAAGTAGATTATTTTCAGTTGCTTGACAAATTGTGAAATGTAAATAATAGTCTTCTGTATAAAATAGTACATTGCTGTTTGTTTTAGGTTTTTGATAAATACTAATAAAATGAGTCCCCAAAATAAACTTAATAACTTAAATTGTAAGTTTAGAGGTTTTTTTAAACAGTCATTCAACTTTCCTTCCTATTGACATAATTACACTGAAAGCAGTTTACTTATTTCACCTACGAATGTATAAATTATTCTGATATTTCTATATTAATTTATTATTAACTGTGTTTTTTTTATGTACTCCCCACACAACATTACAAACCTCTGCTGTTTCCGTTATTTACATATAGACCCCAAAAGCAAACCAACGCTGTAGAAAACCTGCAGGTTAACCGAATTTCAATTGGTCTGATAGGATTTTCACTTAAATATTTCCGTTTAAACAAGAAATATTCGTTCCCCATTTAAATAGTATTAGATATAACGAGTACGAAGGGTTACTGCTATGGGAGACGTAAAACGTGTTCTTGATCAATCGTAAGATGGATAAATAAGTTTGCCAAATTAGATCAAAATTTATATATAAACAAGCAATCTAGTTTTCTTTTTCTCCCTAAGAATTACATGGAAATTTTAAATGTACAGTTTTTCAATTCCACCAGTAATCATTGTATTGTACAACAACGCTTCAATATACAAAATTATTAGTTTTTAGCCCCACATGATGGCCCAAAGTTGGGTATTTCAATGTTTTAAGAGCGAAAATTAAGAAAAACGAATTTTTAAAATTATAAAACCCCATAACACACCGTTTCCATATCCTAAAGTTTTTAAGACTCATTTAATCAAAACCGGGCCAAAATCTCTCATACATACATATACACATTTATAAATATTTTACGAATTGTTTTTTTTGCCTTCAGGGATATCAAAATGATATGTTAAATCGGTCCCGGGTCTATGTCTTGCCGTGCCACCTACAGCAATAGCTACTTCCTAAAGGAACATTTGCTAAAACTATGGAAGAATGATCAGCTGACAGCAGCCACAGCTGAAAATAGCGATGACGTCACTCTTCATCGCTCGTTGCCATGGTTACTAGTGTCGAACAGCTGGTTAGCCAATTTCTATCATGTTTGTTTTTGCAAATGAAATCTGAGGGTGCAAGTAATCCTCCAAACAATGAAACAGTTCAGAGGTTATGGTTATCATAGCGTTACTCATGTTTTTTTGTGTTCATCATAGTTTACGTTGTATATTATACAACCCCCTATAAAAAATACCCCTTTATAAATATTTAGACTAATTGAATAAAAATGTTTTACTGCTTTAGCGGGATAATCAATAATTCACCTAAATAATAGTATGAGATGTTTGTATTTGAAAGCAAAAATAGGTATATCGAAACCATTTTGTTCAGTTAACCCACCAAACCATAATAGGCCTACCATAGATAAGACAAAAATACAGTTCACGCATGGGCCAAAATATTTTTTGCGACTCTCGGTCAATTCCCGTTAGCCCTGCTCGAAAAACTGCTTTAGGTTGTAGTGAAAAATATACAATTTTCAATATATTTTTTAATTAAGAATACATATGGACTCAACTGTTGATTTTTCCATGGGTTAGTAGATTTGCCATTTGATTCTTTACACCGTTATTCCATAATAGTTATGTTTATTACTATTGTATCATTGAATTGAAGTACTCGCCTAGTAATCAAACTGTCATCTGGCGGTGATCATTGGAAAAGACTGTGGCTTTTTCATTATTTCAAACTAGGCTCAGCTGTCTGTGATCTTAGGACCTTTGATAAATGGTCCCTGGCCAAGGAAACAGAGTCTCTTAGTCTGTAACAAATCCAATCTAGGATTCTCAACCATTCTACACTCATGCTTTATTAATATTTGGATAAAGATTAGTTAGTCCTAGTTGCGTTCCGATCTTAATAAATAATCATAGTAGTTCTAGCAATGGGTGGAGACCACAACAAAAGGTTTTATATTTCAACAGCAGATAGTTCACTGTCTAAATTTTTACCTTGACCCCCTTACCTCAGATGCGATCGTGAAAAAAGATAAGGCATAGATTTTATTTAGCCATATAATACATATTGAAAATGCTCTACTAAAAAAACTAAAAACAGTACTTAAGCATTTTGTAACAAAACTGGAATATTGAATTTTCCTTCAAAAGAGACGGCGAACAGGTGAAATAACCTATATTTACAACAACAGACTTAAATAATTATATGCCCCACGTGCCAGAAGCAGTTATTCTGGTGTCACACGAAGCACATTGTCTCTTTATCAATTGACAACAGCGCTTCACAATTTGTGGCTCTTTTCCCGTGCGGCCAATTTTCCAGTTAGTTCTCTCTTCGTTGATTTTCATTCATTGAAGCAATTGTAAACGGAATCAATTGTATATCTTACACGTGCTATCGGGGCGGTTGTCACGTTTAAACATCTACAAGTGTTTTTCAATATCTTTGCAAGTAGACATCATGTTGTTAGCTATACATCCAATAATTATTCTTTATCAGTAACACGTTCTGTAAGATGTATTATCATATTCCTTCATGATGTACACTTTTGATCTATGTAAGTAATAACTATTAGTTACTAATTGATTTGTCGTGGACAGAGAACTGAAATACAAAGACAGTAATATTTCATAAAAGTCCTCTATTTTGTCTCTACTTGCCTAATAGGTGGAAGTGTAAACTGGGGGAGGTGAATAGCCCGAGCTCCCAGGACCAACCACTCTTAAAGTTGTAGTCCATTAGCTGCAGAAAACTCCCCTACGTAAATTAACTACTTCTTATTGTTAAAACAAGTGTATAAAAAGATATTCTGTCATTTTCATACACTGCAGTGTTTTCACATGTTTAACATAAAGTGCCAACTTACGCATTAGATTATGTATTTGAATTGTCCAAAAAGTACTTAAAATGGTTTTGTAATACCTGTGTTTTTGCATATACAGCTTTTACTGCTGTCTATACCTAAATACTGGATAGTGAACAGTTAAACTAATCAAATGTAAGTACTTCCTTTGATTTAAAATCTGTTTGCATGTTTAATTTCATTGAACTGTAATAGTGAGATGATAAAATAATATAGGCTTAGTCCTGAGCAAAGTATAAACATAAAATGGGGCAAGGATCTCATAAGATATAAACTCAAGGGTTGAGCACAACCAAGCAATATACCATAAAGAATTTCACTTATCCCTCACAGCTTACAGTTATTCATTAAAATAGAGTGTCATTCCTTATACTGAGTTTATACTTGCAGTGAAACGAAATTTTTGGTTTTTTGATTAAACTGTTTAAGATGCTAGTTTGTAAAATTGGTTCTTAGTGTAAGACAGCGATTTGGCGATCTGAAAATTCACTTATAAACTTCTTCCGAGCAATAAAAAGAGAAAGGTAAAGTTATAAATTCATTATAAAGGGGGAATGATTTCGAACACAAATAAATGACTGTAAAACTGTTTATTACAGAATTTGAGCTACTTTTCTACAGCACGAGCCACAGTTGTGCTAGGAAAATCTACGTTTTATTAATAAATATAAAATTTATACATCTGTTTTTTGTTTTAGGTGCGTTCAAGAATGCAGGATCAAGGACAGTAAGTATATTTTTCCTCAGTTAAAATTGTAAATCTTACAACTAAAAATACCCCCGCCGCAGCAAACCTGCCGACTAAGCGAATTTCCATTTGTCTGAATTGATTTTCAGTTAAATATATTTTAATAACATTAGGTTTAACGAGTACCTAGGTTTGCTGCTACAAGGAAACAAATAAAGTGTGTTTTTGAGTAAAATATTTATAGCTTAGTACAAAATAAATAAATTTGCCAAGTTTGATCAAAATATATCCATAAACAAGCAAACTACAACATTTGACAATATTCTCCATAAGAATAACATGGGAATTTTAAATTTACAATTTTTTAAATTTTCTCCGTTACTAATAGTCGAACAAAAATACTTTTATATACTAAATTATTTGTTTTTTAAGCTCTTTAAAAAGGTCTAAAGAGAAATCGGGAAATTTTGTGTTTTGAGGGTCAAAAGTGAGAAAAACCAATTTTTACCCCATAAAACCCCCCGTAAAGCCCCGTTCCCATGGTCCGATCGTGCTGGTTCGCGAACTCATTCAAGTTTATCCCGCTTTACACCTTTAAACCAAATTTCATCAAAATCGGACAAAAATTACTCAAGATATCGCGTTTACGGACGTATATATATATATATATATATAAGTCTATATATATATACATATATAAAAATTTTTACGAATGGTGTTTTTGGCCTCTGGGGACATCAAAATGAAAAAGTAAATCGGTCCCGGGTCTAGGTCTTACCGTGCCACCTACGGTAATAGCTACTTCCCTATAGGGAAATTCGCTAATAAAATATAGATTTTGTTATATAAACTTTGTCTATGTGTTTAATTATTACACTATGGGATTTCGACTAGAAAATTAGATAGAGTTTATGTGTTGGATACATTAATATCTGGAGCCTTTAATATTGACAACAGATCAATAACCCATCGCTTAAAATCAACACTAAATGTATTGTTTTTATTCATCTTTGACATTGACTTATCTAATTTACGCCACTCTTATTGATCCAGCCTATTAAAATTTAGGCTCACAACGTGGCGGTATTAATGAACCATTTACCTATTACGTCACTCAGTTAAATTTCCTTTTCACTCTTTTTGGATCTGATCAAATATTTCCCGATTAAACTCGGAATTAAGTAACCCTAAGTAACACAAGGTGTAAATCCTCAGAGATGAGACACTTCTCATACACAATTCATCTCTGACCTACATCATCTAACCACCTCTAACTTCCTCCGCTGATGGAACTGTGGGGCTGTAATGGCGACCACATCGAAGCATTTAGTAACCCAGGCTGTTTATTCGAGGATTTGTTAATGGAGATGTCTCATAGGTGCACCTGTCATATCATATAAAGTACTTCCAATGATTTTGGTCCCTAGGGTGTGAAAATCAGCTGTCGTAAACAGTTGTCAATTTTGATTGTGGTAATCGTATTGATCGAAATTATTTATCAACTGATTTGTTAGGTAAGCTTTTATTGTTGCATTGTTGACAATCGCTCGAAATATCTATGGTATGATGTACCGTGACACAGTCGTAATAGACTAAATAATTGAATCAGTTGCTATACAGCTGTTTATTTACATTAAAATAATTTAAAACAAGCTGGAAGGGAAGCTGGAAGCGTTTAGGGAGTCTTTACATAACAAGTATTCCGTTTTCTAGCTTAAGCTGGGTTTTCCTAGGCGCGGATTCGGCGAGCGGAGAGAGGAACGCGGAGCGCGGACTCCACTTGTCTTAGGCAATTTAATGTTACTGTTTTCCTAGAAGCGGAGCGGAATGCCATAAATTACCTAAGACAAGCTGAGTCCGCTCTCCGCGTTCCTCTCTCCGCTGGCCGACTCCGCGCCTAGGAAAACCCGGCTTAAATTTCAATTCCGCTCTCCGCGTTCCTCTCTCCGCTCGCCGACTCCGCGCCTAGGAAAACCCAGCTTTAGTTTGTTAATTAATGATGAAATGTGACGAAAATATAGTTCATTACACGGCCAAAAGGTGTCTTTTTATGCCCTAGGTATGAAATATAATATTTATCTATTACGTCACTTTTTGTTCGTCCTACTTAGCCGATTTATACAAATGAGATGTGATTCTAAAGATTAAAATCCAGTGCATGATCGAATGGTAATATAATGGTGCTTTGGGTCTTCGCCCCCAAAGCCTTTGATTCATTTCTAGAATGCTGCAGAGGTCCAGTGCTAATGACCGCCTTCTTTTAAAACTGGTTTAAGTGTGGATTTTAGTTTGACAGATTATTGATTATCATCGGTCAAAATTTCAACCCCAGTCAGATTGTAAAGACACAAAACGGTTTATGAAAATTAATTGGAAAAGGGATTCTTCCATATGGTTGTAGCCTGACTGAGATGTATTGATTCCTCTCTATAGTACGTTTACAGTAGATATGAAAGGAAATGTTTTGAATATTGTAAATATCTTTCTATCAGGATGCTTTGGGTCTATTAGGTCTTAGTTCTATTAGGATTTAATGATGGTCCTAAACAAACATTCATTTCATTTAATTTTTATTTGTTGGTGATTTTCTAGAATGTTAAATTTTTTTCAGCCTAGAGTTAAAGTTATATCTAGAGTTAATTTAGGAATTCTGTGGGTAATTAATTTAACTGAGTATTTAGTAATCACGCTCAAGATAACTTTTTAAATTCTGGCCTATTGGTTTATCATGTAAATTAGTCGTACATATGAGCGCATGTCAACGTGTAAAACCCCGTATATGAAAATCGTATATGAAAATTACATTACGATCAGTGGATGGTTCATATTGGATCGAAAACAGTTTCACCAATACATACAAATTTAACTATTTACATATTTGATATTGATTCAACAGGAAAAGAAACTGAAACAGCAAAGGTGAACTAAGCGATTAACAGTCGTAATAGACATCTTAGGGTTCCATTTGTCTGGTCCTTTATTATTTTTTTGCTCTGTGATGTACAATTGTGTAAGAAAATTCATTAATACACCATTAAACAGCATGACATTTTATGCTTGTCTTAGCCCATGGAAAAGTCCACAAAAAAAGTCCAGACAATTTGGAAACATCCTGTATCTGATATGTATATTCTATGTACAGTAACCATATTCATATATTAACTATCTATAGATATATAGATCTTATATATATATAATATGGTTGAAAGGCGTGTTTTATCATATTCCAATAGTATGAACTTTTCAATGCTAACCATGAATTTATTTGTATACAACACGAACAAATCGTAATCAATTTAGTAATACGTCATATCGGAATAGTATCGAGAGATAAAAGAAATAAAGAACCATCCTGTTTTCTAAAATAATACAGAAAAAACTCTTTGTTACAGTAATCTTACTAGGTTCTATTACCATAAGTTAATTGAGAAGTTGGTATTAAAAGCTAGCCTACTAGGGTTGGATGTCGAAGTCTTCAAACACTGCGACAGTTGTATTTCATTAATTATTCATGTTCTTGTTACAGGACAACCAGGATGAAGATGTGCGAGAGCTTCATAGCCTAAAGCCCTTCACTGACAGTAAGTTTGCTACTCAAGCTCTCTGAGATTTATGTGATACAGCTTTGTAGTCTAAAACAGTTTCAACTTATAATTAGTAATTTGGTTGTTGTGTGACGTTAAATATTCTGATTTGCCGCATTCGCTGTATACGTTTTATTATTTGTTAAAGTTTTAATATTTTAATACATTTTTATATTGCTATCGTAGTTTTTATAATTTACTTTCATTGATTTATTAGTATTGTAATGAGATAGTTTAATCATTCATGTGAGTTGCTGTTGTGAAATAAAGATTACCCTCTCTGAACTCTGCGGAAATAATGACGCACTTGAGCTAAGCTCAAGTTCCTGCAAATTACTGCACATTTCTAACTATCTCATGACATAATATTTGATTATGGCGATACGAAAAATCCATATTAAATTGGTTGGTAAATATAACATATAAGGATATAGTCTAGTATTATATATGAATTCGAATTGAATACGAAATTTTCCAAAACTATCGTACCGACGATTTTTAAAATGAGTATTTGAATTGTGCCTTTTAGTTTAAAGGTTTTATTTTTATGAGGGAATCTTAGGGCCAAAAGTTTCTAACCTCCCTACCATAGCGAGGTCCCTCATCTAGCTGGAACCATACGTCGTTGAAGTTTTTACGAGAGGCTTGTTTCTATAGCTGGAACTATTTGATTTTCTAGCATATAAACTTCAGAGATTAAGTTTCCGTAAATAAAAAGGGGACATATAAAAGAAATTCCCATTGTTTTCCGAAATTCCCATCCATACATTGATTAAGATTTTGCGGTTGCTGCGTGTGTGTTTCCTCTTCCCAATGTGGGTTTTCACCGTCTCAATAACGGTAATTGTGCATGTTGACGCTGTCAACTAAATAAAATTACGCTTCATCAGAAAACACAATAGTACACAAGTGCTCTGTTGTCATCACAAAGGCGCATAATTTTATCCCAAAATTCCGACCTCCTGTCATAATCATCTTCATTTAGTTCTTGGCCTAAAATGTATAATCTATGTTGGCTTTCAAAACATTTCCGATGGAACTAAAATTTACTTCGTGTACCTGTGCTGCTTTCCTAAGAGGTATGTGAGGGTCTTCAATGAAGGATCTTAAAATTTCAAATGAATGCTCTTCTGTAATGGTCTTTGGCCTACTAGAATTTGCCAATATTTCACAATACCTGTCATCTGAAAACGTTAAATCGTATCCCTGAACGTAGAAAAACTTATAGAGCTTCTTTCTATAGTAAATATCACAAACATCTCTATAGAATCTTTATAGAAGCTCCATAATCTTAATAGTTTCTTATAAAGCTCCATAGAAAATTTGTTAAACCAGCACACATACAACTTACACTTACGTAGTACGATTAATTTCTAAGTCTGTTTTAAGAGATATAACAATAACCTTTCTAACAAAGCGTTGTGTTAAAAGTGAGTGTTCAGTACAGTTTTGTAAATAGGGTAATTAGTAATTTCATCATTAATCGTTAATTGTATTATCATTTAATGAACTGTGTGCATAGGTTTTTTAACATTCATTTGTATATTAGTTACTTATTTTAAGTCTGTAAAATGTACTCTACTCTACTCACACACACACACCACGGCAATTCCCCTCCCCCACATTCTCCTTAAAATCATACGATGCCTACGTCATATGGCGTGATCTATCTCTGTCTCTTTCCCTCTCATGGAAAATTCAAATTTCCCCACCATGATTTTACTCAGTTAGCGTCTAAAACCTTCCTCGATCGGACCTATGTGCCGCACCGCGCCGTTTGTCTGGCAATCTCTCGGTCTTTTGACCACCTCGTGGTGGAAGTGTCCCCACTTTAAAAACTATCTCTTAATCAGTGAATAATAGTACTAAATTTCCCATTTCGAAGTGTGTAGTGCATCTGAACTTCCAGATCTTCTTGTGTGTCCCTCTGGTGAGCTCACCCAATCCCCATTCCCCCTGTTACCTTCCAATGTTGGATTTTCTTATTGAAAGGTATGTGACATTGTTTTTTTTCTACTCTCTATTAACTCTCATATCGAACATTTTGGTCCTTCGAGCCGGATGTGCTTTGAATCACACTTTGGAAACTTGCCACTTTGCAACTTTGAACTTTGACTCGGCGTCCTTTGAAAAGCCATATGTTTATTTTTCGTTATTATTTCACTGAACTCAAGTCTCAAACTCTCTCTCATAATTTTCTGTGCGGTAAACACTAATTTTATTGTGCATAAACTCTGAACATTTTGTAGTACAAGTGCTTATTGAAATTAATTATTTCGTTTTGGCGCGGAGTCGCCATTTTTTCTTGGTTGCGTCGGTTGTACATGAACGAGGAAAACGACGCTTCCCCCTCTTTGCAAATCAACTTGAACTGTATTGGACGATATGCGCGCCTGCGCGAACTTCGTTCGGTGATCGTATCGATCGTGAGCGTTCTCCCCCCTCTGATCGATCAGCTGATCGACCGAACTCAAAGCGCATCAGCTGTGCAATTGATGTGAACTTTATTCCTTTCCTCTCTTTCCTCTCACAACAATAACAGCAACACATATGCCTTTGTCAATAGTTTAATTAATTATAAGTGTATGTGTGAATTTTGATTTATTGTTGATACTAGGCCCACTGTCATTTATTGATCATAACGTAATTTGTTATTGACCTTGCAAATTTATATTTGTTTTTATTTCTCATTTAATTATATTCCACATTAATATGCTAACTCCTCTTGTGATCATAAATGCTCATTGTCTTTAAACAATTGTTTATTATTAGTTGTTCTCTCGTGTAATACATCCTTGACTGCTAATTACACATTATTTAGTGGCCCTTTCACTATTGACGTTTCTTGTTTGTCTTGTTTATTCTCTTGTCTCTGAGTTATCATAGTATATCCTTGTTAGGTGCGTTTTGTTGTTCTGTTAAATAGTTAATTAATAGGAATCAACTGATTTAACTTCACTGTTTTAAATGACCTAGTTTTACATTTGTACTTTTTGTTAATTATTGTTCTATCATCAAATTACTTATTTAGTTAATTTAAGTAGTTTATATCTATTTAGATATATCTATTTAGAGCACACTTTATGTATGTACTACCGATCACTGAGATCATAACACGCGGTGAGCGTAGCTGATTTCCGTTCATAGCCTCTCTAGGTCAGCTGTTTCAGTCAGCTGTTAGTACAAAGCCAAACGGTGTTCATTGTGGAACATCCGGAACCGACTCAAAATACGGTATTCCATTTAAAAGCCGTACAAGCTCTATAAATCCTCTGATATTTTACTTTCGCTCATCTAAATATTCGTTTGACAGCTCTTGAACACAAATAGTGTCCACTTAACAATATTGAATAGTTGTTAATTTTTCATTTATGTTTTCTATTTGTCACTGATTGTACATAAAGAGGCTAACGTAAAAACGTTTTTATAGGCTAACCACTGTGTATAAATACGTTTGAATACAAAACAAACCATTAGAGTAAAACATTTATCCACTATTGTTAATGAATTGTTTAAACTAACGTTTCTTTGTTAACAACATTGCTTAGCATTTATTCATGTTTAATGCTTATTATAACTTTTTTTTCTTTTATGGTTTCATCATTGTAGATTTTTTGAACTTATTGTAAGGTAATTCATAACCTAACAATGCCTGGACCAATCAAGTTTTCCACTTATGAACGCTCCACTGCTTTAATCAAAGCAAGGTTTGAGAAAATTCTCACTGCAGTAGAAGCTGTAGCTAATCTACCCCCTCCTCTCAGCCAGGTCAACTTAAGAACCTTAAGTAGTTATGCAAAAGAAATAACTAAAAAACGTGCTGACTTTGAAGGTAACCTTCAAAGAGTTCTTGAAGGTTTGGCCCCTGAAGAAGCTCCAACCTCACGACTGTCTACTGATCAAGATGATATCAACGATGTTTATATCAAAATTCAAAGCATTATTGAATCCTTGAATCCAATTGACGAACCACGCACCCCTTCTGCACATAGCGAGTCAGGTTCAATTTTTACTCATGCGTCAGTAAATATTAGGCTCCCGAAGCTGGAACTAAAACACTTTGATGGCAATCCATTACAATGGGTTAGTTTTATTAACCTCTTTGACTCTAGTGTACACAAAAATGTGAGTGTGTCGAATGTAGCCAAATTTCAGTACCTTTTAAGCGTTGTGTCGGGTGAACCCCTCAGCTTAATTAAATCCCTTAACATCACTACTGCGAACTACTTAGTTGCATATCAACTACTTCGTGATCGCTATCACAACACAAGGCGGCTCACCACACTGCATTTAAACCAGATAATGGACCTGCCTAACATTACCTCTGGTTCTCTCCATCAACTTAGGGGATTCATCAACTTGTTCTATGAACATAGTGAGGCCCTTAAAGCCCTCGATTGTGATGAGTAGTTATGTAAAGGTCTGTTCGAGCGCAGGGTGAGGGTGATATCCCCCCAGAGCGGGTTCATTTTTTGGACTCGAATAACCTTCTAGAGCTGGTTTATTCCTTGGACTTGAATAGCCCCCCAGAGCGGGTTCAGTCTTTGGACTTGAATAACCTTCTAGAGCTTGTTCATTCCTTGGACTTGAATAGCCCCCCAGAGCGGGTTCAGTCTTTGGACTTGAATGTCTGGACTAAGACTCGAGGCACCCTCAGAAATTCAGAGAGCAGTCTTCTGCAGTTCTTTTTCATAGAATCCGCCTATAATTTCCTCGCCATTTTGATCGGCGATCCTATAAGTAACCGGTCTAGTGTTTAGAATTCGTGCTATTGTAAATATCTCCGAAGTCCAGTTTTGTTTATATTTATTCGCAAACACGTCTTTTTTCGTCGTGATACGAACTCTATCACCGAGGTCGAACTTGCTGTTTTTACGAACTTTGTGTTCGCGCTCAATGTACATTTTTAATAGATCAGCCTCGTTATCTTTGTTGACCTCAACTGGTCTCATTTTAATAGTGTGGTGATAATCGTGTTGGTTATACTCATCTGTGAC